ATGTTGTGTACCGTGTTGTGAGCGAGTACTGTTGTTTACATGTATACGTTGTGGATCATTTCTGTATGTAGAATCTTGTGTTATGTTTAGAAATTTACGAACAATATGGCATGTGTTGATAATGACTGCTTTTTGTAAATGTTTGTATGTGTTTTTGTCTAAACCTAATAGTTGTAAATTGTGGTGTATTGTCTTTGGTATAACTCCAGTAGCACTAAGAATAATGGGAACTATAACATTAGATTTCATTCTCCATTGCGTCTTAAGCTCGATAGCTATATCGGTGTATTTGCGGTGTTTTTCTGCATGTGTTTTAGTTAAGTTGTTAGTGTTGGGGATGGCAATGTCTATAATACAAATGGATTTTTGTGTTTTATCTATAAGTGTAATGTCTGGTCTATTATTGTGGATAGTTTTGTCTGTGAGTAGTGTCCTGTCCCAATATAATTTGTGTGTGTTGTTTTCGAGTATGATCTGTGGCGTGTATTTGTAGTATGGTGTCGTATCTGTTATGAGATTGTGTTTAAGTGCTAATTTTTGATGTATGATTTTAGCTACCTGATCGTGTCGATGTTTGTATTCAGTTTGTGCAAGTCGTGTGCATGCCGATATTATATGTTGGATTGTTTCTGATGTTTGTGAACAAAGTCGACAAGAATCATTTGTCACTGTTTTATCTTTATGTATGTGTTTTTTGTAGTTGCGTGTGTTAATGACCTGGTCTTGTATTGCTAACATGAAACCCTCAGTCTCCGGGAAGACATCACATTCAGACAACCAACTGTGCGTTGCTATAGAGTCAACACAATCCTGGCCAACCTCTTGTGGAAATCGTCCATGTAAAGGCTTTTGGTTCCATGTCTGTATGTTATTTGTGATGTATGTAAGTTTGGATGTGGGTGGGAGTACATTAGTTTCGTGTAGGTTAAGTGGTGTGTAAGATTTGTCTGCATATGATACTGTTTTGTGTAAGACTGAAGTATCTGATTTGTTATAAAAGTATTGTCGTAAATTGTGTATTTGTGTTTGGTGTAATAGTTTTATATCTGTAAGTCCTCTCCCTCCTTCCGAACGAGGAAGGTAAAGTCGTATAGTGGAGGAGTGAGGGTGATGTATATGGTGTTTTGTTAATAGTGTACGTGTGTTTCTCTGTATTTGTTTTAAATCTGTATTTGTCCAACGTATAATCCCGAAAGAGTATGTAAGCACTGGTATGGCATAAGTGTTAATAGCTTTGATTGTATTTCTACCGTGTAATTTTGTTTTAAGTATACTGCGTACTCTTTGTAGGTATTGTGTGATAAGTGTTTGTTTTATACTCGTATGTTTAATATGTGTATTTTGCTGAAAACCAAGATATTTATAAGTTTCATTCTCGTCCATGGAATTTATTAAATTACCCTGTTCTAGCTCATAATCTAAAAGTTGTCTTTTACCAGCTGTGATGTGTTGTGTTTTACATTTATTTATCAATTCCAAAGTCCATTTGTATGTCACGTGAGAATGTTTCGGTAATGTGTAGAAGGTGATTAAGTTTTATGCTTGTGGAAGAGTATAATTTAAGATCGTCCATGTAAAACAGGTGTGTAATGTTGTGATGTATTTCGTGGTTGTGCTTAATATTGTACCCAAAGTTAGTAGTGTTTAACAAATGTGAAAGTGGGTTAAGAGCAAGACAAAACCAGAGCGGACTTAAAGAATCGCCTTGAAAAATTCCTCTTTTAATTTGTATTGGGTCAGTAATAAGTTTTGTGTCGTTTAGTGTAAGTGTTAACGTAGTGTTCCAACATGACATTATGTAATTGAGGAATTGTGTAATATTGTTGCTGACTTTGTATATTGAGAGTACTTGTTGTAACCAAGAGTGTGGTACTGAATCGAATGCTTTTTTGTAATCAATGTATGCAGTGTGTATGTTTCGTTTGTTATGTCTGGATTGTTCAAGTATTACAGAATCTATAATGAGTTGCTCTTTACAGCCTCTGGAACACTTGGTACACCCTATTTGTTCTTCGTATAAAATGTTGTTATCAGTACAGTGTTGGTATATTTTGTTGGTAATGCATGATGTAAGGATTTTGTATATTGTAGGAAGGCATGTAATTGGTCTATATTTAGATGGGTCTTGTGTATTGTTGTCTTTTGGGAGCATGTAAGTGATACCTTGTGTAAAGAATGCAGGAGTGCGATCTGGTGAATTAAGAAGTTCAGTAAATTGTTGTGCAAGGTAAGAGTGAGTGTAGGTAAAATATTTCCACCAAAAGTTGTGAATGTTATCAATGCCTGGACTTTTCCAGTTATGTAAGTGATTAATAGTTTGAATGATGTCTGTTGTAGTGATGTTTGTGTTATTCATAGGAGTAATGTATTCAGTGCGTGTGGTTTCTGTGGTAATCCACGGGGCGTGTGGATTGTGTTTAATGTCTTTGGTCCATAAGTCAAACCAGTATTGCTGAAGTGAGTGTAGAGATGGTGGAATGAGTTTTTCATTAGTGCTGTTTTGTGTTAGTGATCTGTAAAATAGTTTTTCGTTATGTTTAAATTGTGTGTTATGGCGCTTTCTGTCTGCAGTTTCCCTATAGCGTTTTAAACGGTTTGTGTATATTGATAGTTTTTGTGTGAGTGTATCTCTATGTTCGTTATAGTTTGTATTTTGTTCTCGTGTGGTGTGATTGTTTAGTTTTGTAGTTATGTGTTGTACTTGTCGTGTTAATTTTGAAGAACGAGTTCCTTGTATGTATTGTGTAATTCGACCCAAGTCACGTCTGATGTCATCGATGCGATTAATCAGGCGTTTTTCCCAAGCCGGGGGTGAGCGCTTTTTTGTTGTGTGGTGTTCTTTGTTTGTTGTTATTCTTGAACCGTTACATCTAGAAACTGCAACCGCACCGCAATACACAACAAAGTGTAGTTGATGTAAGCTTGTGTTATCGTTAATGTAATTTGGTAAAATGTGATCATTTAGTGTTTTTGAGAGTGTGCGTAATTTTGTAGTGTGACTTTGTTTAGGTATTCGTGCTCTTTGTGTTGGGTCAGTGTTTGAGAATTCTAACAATGCATTGTCAAATTCTTTTTGAAGGGATGTGAGTGTTTGGTTTATGGGATTATTTGTATCTATCGATTGCTGGGGTGTCGCAAATATCTGTATTTCAGTGTTGTTTAGAACGGGTGTATTATCTTGTACGATGAGTGTGTTGTTTGTGTTGAGTAGTGCTTCAATTTCGTGCCTGATTTGTTCCTGTGTGTCTAATGTAAGGAGTGTATTTTTAATGATAACTCTACGTTGGTCTGCAATGCGTTGTTCTGTCAAGTGTGCTAAATGTGGGTATTGTGTAATGAACGCGTGATATAGTTTACCTCTGTATGCTGTCCTGTCCGTTTCCATCTTCGTGATCTCCAGATACGTACCGAAAATGAAGCGATTCATCCCTTCGTCCCATTTCATACGTCTTTTGGAGGTATTATATTATTATTATTATTATTTGATGATTTGTATGCATTCTCATTCATCTCTATATGGAGTATCTTGTACTTGCTGTGTCATACCATTCAGTTTCTACATTCTCATAGTGCAATAAATTATAGTACCATCTCGAAATGAATAAAAATGATTGATAAGAATATTATGGTTCGTAATTGTAGATGCACTCAATTTAATACGTGACAAAGGTCTCGAACCGGGTTTGGTTTGTCATCCAGGGTATGGACAATTTTGTATGATGTCAATCAATTAAGTGAAAACGTGTCATACCATTCAGTTTCTCCATTCTCAAACTTAGTGCAGCAATAAATTATAGTACCACCTTAAAATGGATAAAAATAGACTTATATTATGGATTGAGTCGCTCTTATAATTTTTTTTGAAATTTCGAAATGCCTAAGAAGACACAACAAAAAATTCAAGAAGTGGAATATTCATTAATTCTGAGAGGAAGTGTTGCCCTAACATGACATAAACTGTTCCGCGAATGTTCGATGCACACGCCTATAGTAAAATAAAGACAACGCGCTACATCTGCTCCATTTTGCCCTATTATCTTTTTTGCTAAGATGTACCAAACCAAACATGAAGTATACGTTTACGTTACTGAAATCATATGCTTTCTAACGAATCCAGAAATTTGTGCTACTGCCTCATCGAAGATGAAAGAACAAATGGTTCTTTGAACAAAACTTTTGACAAAATTTATGTGATTGGTTTGTTCCCTTCGTTATTGTGGAACTGCTGATCCAGCCTCTACTCGTTTCCCTGATCTTCTCTTTCCCTATCCTACCTCTGTGGCCTCCTTTCTTCATAATTTCTAATAGTGGTACCATATTCTAAGTGGACTCGGTCCATCGCAATCTCGTCTTTCTTGTACTGCATTGACTCTTTTATAATCTTTTGCCCATGACAACCTTAACTACCATGTTTCGCTAAGTTTATATCTAATTTTATATCATTTGCAATTGACCAAAACTGTTATAAACATTCTTTCTGAAATATGTAAAAATTTCTCTACTGCCTTTGGTGCAGGTTTGCCTACTCTTTAGCGCACCCTTCTAAATAATCTTTCATTATGTTCATTTTTTATTCTTCCTACAGGTGCATATTCATCTTCGAAAGATTTCAAAAGGTTCACACAGGGTGCACACTTCTGAGATACAATTAAACTTCTTTGGCTTCTGTGTTTCTAAGCCTTGAATCTAGTAAATAATTGTGCTCAAATTTGAGTTGCTAGTCGTTTTATTTTTTCGTTTATCAATAAGTCAATCCAGCGTTCGGAATAGCCGAATTTCAATAGGAAAATAGTCAGTTTCCAGCTTGTACAGCTTGTATATCGATGCCAGCATACCATTTTCATAATCGGTGACCTATAAGTATAGCAATGATTTTGGGTAATGAATTAAATGAAAGACCTAATTTTACAAATGATAATCCTCGTTATCACCTTATCAAATAACGAAAAAGGTTTATCGAAACCTCTTCACTTCTCTAGTATAAATAACTGCTCCGAGCCATTCAGAATCACTTTTGTAAAGGTGTCCGAAGAATAACCATGAAGGGTTTACTCATCGTTACCTTGGCTATCTTCGCCGCTGGTATAGTACATTTTTCATCTATTTTATCAAAATAATACAACGCAATTTCTTTCAGGCGTGTACGCAGCTCCTGCAATTAGTTCAGAAGATCAAGTTGTAAGTTTTTGTCATTATTTTATCCCTACGTACCAACTAACCCCTGTTTTAAACCTATTTAGCATAATTATTTGGTGCGATTTGGGTACGCAACAAAAGAAGATCTTCAAAACAGAGCAAGTCTAACTGACGCCATCAAAAAATTGCAAAGAATGGGCAAAGTTCCCGAAACTGGTGTCATAGATGAAGCTACCATTGAGGTAATGACAGATTAAACAAGCAGAAAAAATTTCATTTTCTTTATAGTTAATCAAGAAACCTCGCTGCGGTGTGGCAGATTATGAAAACGGCAAACCGCGCTACAATGCGTACAAGGGCTGGACGAAGAAACAAGTAGAGTTCTAGTATGTCTGTTGAAAATTAACTGTTGGGTACCTAATTGACTTTATTATTCACAGCATTGGAACTGGAACTAGTTACCTAACTCACGAAGAATACTCTTCCTACTTTGGTGCCGCTTTGAGACTTTGGTCCGGGCATACCAGCGGTACTACTTTCCACCCCACTACCAATAAATCGGAAGCTGATATCATTACCTATTTTGGCAGTCACGATCATGGAGATGGGTTAGTATAGACGAGGTGTAAGCAAATACCGTTGCTGACAATAAATTTCCGCAGATATCCTTTTGATGGACGCGGCGGTGTCTTGGCCCATGCGTTCTTCCCCGATGATGGCGACGTCCATTTCGATGCATCCGAAAAGTGGGATATCGATGGAATGGGCGGTAAATTATTTTTTAACTATGTCGATTTTATAATACCTAACGCTTGGATTTTTCTAGATTATACTTCCTTCTACAGCGTGGCTGTCCACGAATTGGGTCACTCCATGGGGTTGGAACATTCAGAAGTAGAGGAAGCTGTAATGTACCCCTGGTATAAGGGTGGCGGAATAGACAAACTCCATCAAGATGACATAGATGGTATGAATAAGCTCTATGCTAGCCGTTGAACCTGGACATATTATAGTAATTGTCGTAACTGCTATCATTGAATAAGTAATCATACACTTAATCAACGCTGCCGTTAATAAATAAATGTTTATAACGTACTCCGTTTATAATTAATAATAATAATAATAATAATAAATGTCTTTATTGTCAACCGAACAAACAGCAAATAAATAACATTTCTTTGTTGATACATTTATGAGTGACAATAGGTGCAAGTTCAGGGACAGGCACAAGCGCCGCTCCTGGTCTTCCACTTGGACCAAAATCAGCAACAGGAAGGAAGAAAATAAAATTTACAATATAAATAGAAGAAAGAAAGAGGAAAGAAATAAAATCTACGGTATAATTAGGATGGTTCACGAAACGTCCAGATTGGCAACAGTTGATGCGAGATAGTGATAGTTAATGTGGCTTATTGAGATTGTAGTAGGTACTGTTTACTAGCAGATTTGAAAAGAGGTAAGGAGGAGATGTTCTTGATGTTATCTGGTAAAGAATTCCATAACTTACAAACATTATAAGAAAAATACCTCTCAAACAGTGATGTTATGTGCCTAGGAGGCCTAAGATAAAAACTTTTTTCTTACATTCAGATTATATACATCTGTGCGGTATGTTAAGCGTTCCGCCAAATATGGAGGGGTTTTGTATTTAATCACCTTAAAATAAAGTGAAGAGTGCATGATGTACCCTTCGATTGGACATATTTAACCACTTACACCGC